TCTTCTCAGCTGTTGTATTTTCTCTATCCCATAATAAGACCCTTGTGACTTTGGAAACTCGTTTAAGACCTATTTATGTAGTTGTACCTTTTTTTACTTTAGTGTATTACTACCTCATCTTTTCTAAGGCACTTGGAATAACTTGCATTTGCTAGTGGTACGAGGCCATCTATTATACTACAAAATAAAGGGTTTGATGTTGCTTTATCAATTATACCTAGCCTGTTAATATATTACAGGTGATTTAAAGAGACAAGAGTTTCCATTTTATTTTTAATTTCAGTTATTACTAGAGCTCATTCATACAGCTGGGATTGGCTTCCCTCCCCACCCCCTGCAGGAATACTTCATGCATTTAGTAGGACAATTAAGCTCTCTAAATTATATGTTGTAATATCCTTTCTTCTAAAATTAGTTTATTTCAATATAATTGAATTGTCATGTGTTTGAATTGACGTCATGTGCATATTGTCATATGTTTTGATTGGAAGGAAATGCAGATACATAGGATGTGCTATGCTATGGATTCTGTTTATTCAGATAACATAGGAACTAAGGATAGCCACTATTTGCATTATTTACTATCTTGGAAGAAGGCTAAGAAGGAGTTTCTGCAATTAATGGGAACAACTTCTATGCTTATTTTAATGGTAACTGAATCCACTGACTGGATTCAGAAATCCAATGAGAATTTCTCATGTTTACAAGCTGAAAAAGTGAGGAACCCTTAAATTTGCCGAAAAGGAGCAGATGACTTGACATATGGTATATCAGCCTGAACAAGAAAGCAGGAATAAGAATAGACAATAAAACTTGGAGTTTCCTGTAACTCATATACTCTATATTAGACTAGAAAAGCATTGCAAGATCCCAAGTTGTACTGAGAAAAAGAGAGATAATTTGTTTTATTAAACAAATTATTGTTTAATAAACAATAATTTCTTTCAGAAAAGAAGTTTAAAGGAAGTATACTAGAGAGTGTATTATGTACAGCAACCATTTTGGAGGTGAAGACTTGGAAAGCAGATAATTTGTTTTATTAAACACATTATTACTTAAACATCAGTAATTTTACATTTCTATAAATGTCTTTACCTCGAAAGTGTTTCACTATATTCAATGTGGTTTTAATCAAATTAATATTTATATAAATACATGTTTTATGTAGCTCAGAAAAGACGTTTAAAGGAAGCATACTAGAGAGTGTATTATGTACAGCAACCATTTTGGAGGTGAAGACCTGGAAAGCAGATGGTTTAAGATATATTGAGAGACTGCATCATCTTATCTGTCCCATATTCAAAATCGGAGCCCTCTAAATTTCTAGAGACTTACCTGAGTGTGGAGGATTGAAAATGCTGGAAAAGACACCATCAAGGGCTTTTTAAAAAAATCCTTTGTTTGCAGTCCCTGTACTGGAAAGTAATTTCACCTTCTGTTTTTGTCCTGCCTCAGTATGTGCCCATTAAAGTAAATGCATCTTTTTCATGCATGAGCACAACTTGCATTAATGATAATGGAGCTTTCATATGTATATTGAAAGTTGTTCATACCTAATGTTACTGCATTTCTAATGCTGCAGAAGTCAAAACTGATGTATTCTGTTTATTTTTTGCTCTGTGAATCAGCACTGTTGTTACAGTCAGCAGGTACATACGTCTATAGGAATTCTGCTCAAGGAAGCTGGCAAATCTATGTTTTTTTGAACACATTTTTAATAGCTTTGATTTATTTTGATTATTATGTGATGGGGGGTTCACTGTAATTCAGCAGATAGAAGTTGGGTCCAAGATACTAGATAAATGTGCTATACAGGCTCTGAAATCAAACCATGTTGCTAAAGTTAAGCGGGCAAGTTGTTAAAATCATCAAACTCCAATTTACTTTCAATTTAAGAAAGAAAAAACCTGTGCACAGCATACATATGATGTAGTGATTTCTGAAAAACATTAGAAGACCTATAGATTGTAATGTTGAGCTATAGGTATGTAGGAAATGATGGTGTGTTAATTAATGGTGTAAAAATAACTCACTTATCTTGTGCCTATGTTTCTTGGCCCTTAACCTTGTGAAACCAAGTATGTGTTTTACATACTGCTTCCACTGAAGTAAGCATTGGATATTCTGAGCGACTATTGTAAGGTCTTTTGGGTCTATAAGTGGCATACTACTTTTCAAATAATTCCTACTTTTGTATATAAACCAAGTATGGTTCTATTTACTTTATTCAATATTGGCATTGTATTTATAAGAAGTAAAAACTGAAGAGGAAAACAAAATGTTAAGGGTGGTTTGTTTGTTTTTTTTTTATTTTTAAATTCATGGTCTTCTGCAAGACCGAGAGAAATCTTCTTTAGATTTCTATTTTGATAGAGTCATTTGGTATATTCTAACAAATGTTGGTATGTGATGTTCTCTGTGTGCTTTCTTCCCAATTATATAGTTGTGTGTACTGTGGTCTAAAGTGTTGAAGGTGCTTGGCGCTGGAAATAACTACATCTCAAAGCAAAATAAGCTTTTGGGTAACTACAGTGATATTGGGGAATAATGAGGTTTGGCAAATTACATTACAGCACTGTTGAGGTGGACTCTTATAATGACAACATTAAAGGCACAGGTGGAACACAGAGTTTTAGTGTCTATCATCAGTGCATATTAAGAGTTTATCAACTGACCTGACTGTGCTTGACCTTTTGCATGGTGAGCCAGTAGGGTGAGTGCCAGGAAGCTCTCTTTTTCCAAACAAAAACACATGTACCTCTTTCATCTTGCAAAGCTTCTGTAAAGGTCAAACACCGTTGTAGTTCAGCTGAACAAAAAGAATCATCTCCTTTCTCCACCTTCAGGGACTCACAATGCCACAGATATGTCAGACAGGAGGGGGAGAGGTTTAACAAGGACGTAGCACAGTAAAAGAAAGTAAGGATTTGCTACTCATAGGTAATGCACGAGAATATCTTGACTCTGAACATATGACTTGGTGACTGAGAAATACTGCCTTATGTATGAGTATTTTATGTATCAATACGTAATCTGTTTTGGAAGGCAATTTCTTATTTTTCCTAAAGGGTTTTCTTTAATAACTTCACAATTTCAGCCATCCCATTTATTTAATTGAGAGCATGTTGCTGTCTAGCCTGCAGTCAAAATAGCTAACTCTGCCATTTTACCTTCTTGAGTGCAGTTTCACATTACAGGACTCTCAGCCTAGAGACAGTTATCATACAGCAATAATAAGCTAATGCAGCTGTGTGAGCAAATTTAATTAACTGCAAAAATGGAATTCTCAGCTTTTTCCCTGGCTTGGCCAACATCCAGAAGTGTGTAGCTGGTATGTAGCTTTTATGCTGTAGGAAATGCTGTAGAATACAAACTATGCACATTTGCATGCAGGGATTATCTGCATAGTTTTTGGTATCCATAACCTGATTTTGGTTCATTTTTTACTGTGCGTTTATGCCTTCCCATCTGTTGCATTTGTACTTGGCTTAAAAACTAACATTGAGGTTTTACTATGAAACCTCATTTGAGGTTTTTTTCATGGCATAACTGCTGAAGAAAATATCAAAAGGTGCGTTTTCCGACATGCTGTCTTCCTGAATAATGTTTTCAACAACTGCAGCAGCTGTGGATATTATAAAGTTGTAAAATATGTTTGAAACATGCTCACAATATGAATGTCCACAGACTAGACATAATGAAAGCTTAAACTGGGCACTCCATAACCCAACTTCTCCATATAACCAACAGCTCTTTCTCCCACATTCCCAACAAGTCAGTAGACAGTTTCCAGCCTGGTTCCCAGTACAGTATACGTTGCTTCTGTAGTAGCTAGATATAGATCCGTTTTTAACTATTATGCTCTACTATTATTATACCTAAAAGATTGCTAGTAAAGCGTGACATAGTGGGAATGGTGACTTTCTGGCATTTGAATTTCAACAAACCTTGAATATAATTTCGTGGAAAAGGGTATTCGTTAGCTTCTGGGCTTCCTCCCTTTTGAATATCAAAGGTCTGTAGAGAGCAATAACAATATTAGAGCTTATTCTAAGCATTCACAGGAGGATTTCATAATGATTGTATCAGGCTAGCTAAGTATATGAGTTACTGTTAGACAAATTCTTTACACAAGCTGAGGTGAAAAAATGACACTGCAGACTCATGAAATAAATACATCATGCATTCTTTTCTCTGCAATTTATTTGTATTCTAGTTTACTATTTTTTTAAATTAAATGTTCTAATGAAAAGGTTCCTCCTCACCTTTTTTTTTTTTGCACCCCAGGGTCAATACCCCTCACCCCATTGCTCCAATTTCTCTCTGTATTTTCTGCTCTCTATTTTTAACTGTATGTAAAGCTTATGGTGTCTCAACTGTAACTTGCATGTTATTTTAAAATACCTAAGATCAGCTTAAGTGTATTGAGGTCTGAATTCCACTTGCTTTTGGCTTGTAGTGGAGGGGGTAATGTATACGTGTTAATTATAGGTTTTAATTGAATGTATGTGGGCTTTTTCAAACATAAGATCAAGTAGTGTGGTTCTTTGGGTGGCTGGGTGGAACAAAACAAAAAAACCCTTTTGCTAATTTAGCCAGATACCCTGGCTGATTTTGTGATTGTCCTATCTTTACTCCCCTTCTTGAGAGGTAATTTTTGATGATGCTAAGAAACCACGAGAAAATTTACCCTAAACATTTATTCTCCTTTAGTGCTGATAACATTTGGGACTTGGAGAGAAGATGTTTGAAGACCTATTGTGATCTGATCAGACCTAATTGGATCTGGCAGCTGGATTGAAATTTGTTTTAAAAACAGCTTAGTAGTACTTTTGTTTATTTTTTATTGAGACTGAAATGAAAACAACAATTTCCAGCACTCTGGAAATACACATCATGACTGTGTGTTAAACTTCATCTTAATACTTCGTATTTTTTAATGACACTGGTATAAACCCCATGTCTCTTTGGTGACTCTGCTCTCTTTATTACAGGTACTGTTGTCAGGATTGATTGGTGTTGTTTCATGGAAGAGGCCCCTTTCACTTGTGGTGAGTAGCAATGTGGCTTTAATCATGTTATACAGACTTTAGATAAGTGACTAAAGAATTCTGTGGAAGTAACTACCAGTGGTTTTGTCTTTATGTAGAAGCCTAATAGCTGCTGGGGATGATTTTCCAGTGCTGTTATGTATCCTAATATTTATAAACGCTACGTACAAAAATTTTGGGACTTTGAGGTTGTATTACATAAACGATCTAAGTGACAGTAATATTTTTCTTCTATCTGTACTTAAGTCTTGGAGAGCCGTAATATTTATTATGTGTAAAAGAATGCAGATATCTACTGCCCCTTCCTTGCCATTCTTACAGTTCTATCTTTCTTTTTTAAAGGGATAGCATATGGTTTAGTAATTTAAATGTAAGAACTAATGAATCATAAATATTTTGATGAATGTGTATGTTTAAAGAAAGGCAACAATCATACTGTAGTTGACGGTGTGAAATTAAAAATGGCTGAAAATAGTGAGCATTGCTGCCTATTAGATACACTCAATGTTGCGTTATGGCTTGGATTACTAGATATTCATGAAATATGTTATAATTTTCAATAATTTGTTTATTAATATATTTTTAAAATTAATACTGAACTTAGAAAAGTGCTTAGTCTTCACTATTGTTCTAGACAAACAGACTGGTGGTCTGCATTTATCTTTGCATTTAACTTGCCTAAAATTGCACCACAGAGAAATCTTTTTAACCAGTTATCGGGATGGCAAAAAAGCATATTCCAAATTAGTAGCTGTTCTTCTTTGTCTGCAAAACAATTTTCAGCTACATTATTTATTCTGTTGGGCGACTCATGTAGTTACTTAATAATAAAAAGTAATTTATGCTTTCTGTATGCATGCTAATAGAGTTTCAATTAACCTATTAACACAAAGCAATATTAGATTCAAATCAATCTTATGAAAAAGGTGAGATGACTGTGTCAATAAGGATGTATTAGCAGGTAAATACTGCCGTTGAAAAAGTCTGCATATGTAACATAGTAACATATGTAACATTTGTAACATGTTAATACTGAAGATAGTCCCAAGAAAAAAGAATACAATGGAAGGTATGAAATGGGAAGACCTGTATTAATAAGAATAAGCCTAATTAGAACTTCAGGTGTATCCTTCAGTATTATGAACTAAAGCAGTAGTGTTAGAGCTTCTGACATATTTTTTTTCTTTTTTCTTTCCCTTTCCATAATTCACTTTTCATTGTTATTAAAGAAAGGACAGATTGAGTTTGTATTTATTTACTGGTTTGTGTTTTTACCAACAGATGAATTCTATGTGATGTAGAAAGCTGCCTGATGGCAAGATAAATGTGCCCCAAATGAGGTCAAAGGGAAGCAAATTAGTGAAACTAATGAGTGCCCATGAGAAAGGTAGCAGGCAGGTTTCTGGACTAAAACACAAAAAAAGGCAGATTTTTATTCACCATAGATGAGGAGGGAGAGCTTTCACATTAGAACATATCAAAGGACTGATATGTCATGAATGAGTAGCCATCAAGTAAAAATATTCAGAAGTTCTCAGTATTTTCCATTTAATTTTTTACAAACAGACAAACAATGAATGTGTATATGAGAACACACGGACAGGATGGGAGTGGTCATTTGGTTGCCCCAGTATTTCTCTGGTTATCTCTTGCTGGGCAGGAGCAGAAAGAGGAGGAGCAAACTATTTTTTTCCTGGTGTTACCAAAAGGGAGCGTGGCCCAAAGTGCTGTTTGCTCCATTAGTCCGTCAGTAATGTAGTTCATATTGGAAATTTTGCAGGTTTGCAGTGTTGTTTAGAGTAAGAATGTGTATCTCTGGGTAAAGATTGGATTAAATTTCTGCTCAGTGTTATGACAAATAGCTGGTATACCTGTTTTTATTCCAATATATTTTATTCTACCTTATGGGCTTTGTTAATAATAATTCTCTACCTGGTACCTGGGAACGCTGCCTCTTTGATTGAATAAAACTAAATAGAATTGTAATAGTATTACCTCTTAGAAATACTTCAAAAGAAAAAGTTCTCAACAGTGAAAGAATCATGAAAGTGTATGTTTGGTACCCAAATCTCATTTCATTTTTATTTGCTACCCTTTACTGCTCACATATTACAAACTATTAAAACTAAAATAATTCCTCTGAATTGAGTGCTTGTACAACTGTGAAGTCTAACTAAACCTAAGACTTTTCAAAATAGTTGCTCGTAAGCTACTCTAATTGCTGTTTACATCATTGGAATAAACAATATTCATGCATCAGAAATGTTATTCAGGCCTATTAAGACTTGGCTTCTTTGATTCCTGAACACTTGCATATTGTAAATTCAGCCAGGCTTTCAGATATCAATTCATTCAGTTAAATGTAAATAGGCAGTCGTGGTCAGTATCATTCAAGGAAATAAATATAAAAGGGAAGAAATAGTAAATGGTAGCACTAATACTCTCAGAAGAGCTCACCTTCCTAAAATCCACTCTAGGAAATTATTCATTTCCAAGAGTAAGCTTAGTGATGATGAGTTAGATCCTGATTGTTTTTCTTCTGTATTTCTGTATTGGCACTTGGTGGTAGTATACTAGTAAGTTGGAGGAATAGGGGACAGGGATGATGTTTTTTGCCTCTGTGTGTGATTAAGCTGTGCAATAGCCAGTGCTAATAATTTTGCAGTGGCTACATAATATCTGTTTTTCCTTGTTGAATTGTAAATACCTTTTAGCAGATAGAACCTATGTGTGCAGGATGACTATTTGTTCTGAGTAAGCAATTAATCCTGTGCAACTTCACAACCTTATAGCACAAAGTACCATTGACATGTTAATGAGTCATATTTCTTGTGATCTGCTTATACAATACATATGCAAAATACATATGGTCAATAATTACCTTTTAACCTAATTTATAGTATTATAAACAACTATATAATCAATTACAATATACGCATCTTTTTTTTTGCAGTGTGTTACAAAATCTGTCATTGCAAAGAGTGATAACAAAAAGAAAGATAGCTTTATCATTTGAAGCCATGAATAAAGTTTTATAACATTAAACCATACACCATCTGTGACATTCTGAAAACTGGTGAAACTCTGATAATATTTTAAGATGCCAGTTTCCTGCTTGTTTTGGATTTGTGACTAAAACAGGACTGATAACACACCAGTGTTTTGGCTATTGCTGAGCAGTACTTGCACAATGTCGAGGCTTTCTCTTTTTCCCACTCTGCATCACTTGCTTTGGCTTTTTCCTTCCCCTTTCCTTCACTTGTTAAACTATCCTTATCTTGACCCATAAGTTTTTTCACTTTTGCTCTTCCAATTCTCTTCCCATCCTGCTGCAAGGGGAGGGAGTGAGTGGCTGTGTGGTGCTTAGCTGCTGGCCAGGGTCAGCCCCTCACACTACTGATTCTGGTTTGCTCATCGCTGTATTAATACAGTTTTTTTCACAGATGCAGAGTCTTTTCTTTGAAACTTTATTATTTTCTGCAGGCAAAAAGAGGAAGTCGAAGAAGCAATAAACACAAGTAGTACTTCATCAACCATTAACTTCTGACTGCATCTTACCAGAGATGTGTTATGTGGTATTGGTATAGAAACGAGTGGGTGGTTGCATGGTTTAACACCTTGGAACCAAAGTCAAAACTGAGAATAGTTGTATATTTCCAGGACATTAGCATGGGTGGTGTTTTGTCTGATACGTTCAGTAGAAGATTTACAAATGTGTATGCGCTAAGGAAATTTTACTGTGATGTTAATGTGCAGAAATTTAATTGCACATAGCAGCTCTCATGCTGAAGTGTCTTTGCATAGCTTAATTATCTGAAGGATTCACCAGATTTTGTTAGCCAATTTTATTGGTCACCACCTAGCCATCAGTTGCTTATGTTGCCAAAATGCTTTATATATACAAGGAATCAGTGTCTGTTATCAAACCAGTATTTATATTTACCAGAGGAGACACCTGTGCAAAGGAGATCTTTAAATTGTTTATGCATTAATTTTGAACAGTATTTTCCATATATTTTTGATGTTTCCTCATTAAGCTTTCTGTATTTTTAATTACAAAATCTGAGAGAATTTGTAGTGCTTTGGGGAAATCTTTCAAGAGTCCCTTATTTGGAAACTAAGCGCTGGCTTTGTCAGTACCACTGCTTAAGGTTAAAAAGCTGTGTTAAAATAGGAATTTGTTTCCTCGTGGTTTATGGAAGTGTCTGACAACTGGGGGAGAGCTTGTGCAGATCCTGAGGTTGAATTACCTTGTACAAAACTAACTGTGCAGTGAGATTATTTTTCTGTTACAGTCTATGGTAATTGCAAATCTATTTGTGCTAAGGAGATTAATTCAGCTGGTGAATTGAGTAGAAAGCTTCTCTGTTGCCATCTGGCATTTGGGTGATCCCAGAAAAATATTTTTACATTTCTAACTGAAAGCTTTTACAATAAACTGATAGATTTAATATTTTTTCAAGGAACAGAAGCGTATTTTTTCATGTCTGTGAATGTCAGTGAACACAACACAATAATTATTAATAAGTCATCTTGATTACTCAGAATAGCTATTTAAAAGCATGCCCTATGAAATCTGCATTCCAGATACAGTTCCATGCATCAGTGAACATGCAAATCTGTGCATATACCTTTAGTAACTAGCCTGGGTATAAAGGCTCAAAAATCTGGTCTGTACGTTTGTTTTTCAGGATGTTTTCTTTCTTTTGGCTTAAATGGAAGGGGACACTCTGCTTTCAATGCATTATCCCTTCAAATGAACCATTACTTTGTGCTTTTTTTTTTTTTTTGGCTAAGCAGATAGGATTTTCATCATTTAAGAAAAATAAAAGAGGAGTCATCCTAAATAGCAGCAGTTCAACCTGCACATCAGGCACAAGGATGAACTGCTGTGCAAGGTCTCAGACTGCACCTGTGGTAGCAATCAGTCAAATACTGAACTGACTTTGTTAGAAAATATTCATCTTGGGCCAGCTTGGTAGTTTGTAGCAAAATGACAG